GTTTGGCACCGTCGCCCGCCTCAAATGTGAGTTGACCTTTGACCCGACATGTCACTCATTCGTTAACCTTGTTCATGCTAATTGCTCAGCCTCACCTGCGCTGTTTGATTATTCAATTGTATGAATAATACTGAGCAATTTGCATAATATGTTAACACTGGTATAACTAGCTTAGCTTTTGTTAATGTTGTTAGTAGAATATAAATGATCGGCAGAAAATATTCACTGACTATTGTTTTCATAAATAATAGTTTAAGTCATTTTTTATCCAAAATGCTAAAAGAATCTTAAAAATATAAAGATTTCTGACTTTTCTCTGTTTTATATCATTTGAAAGCACATTTTCGTTTGGCTTAGGAATGACAAAAGTAGAAATGTGGACTTTTAGAAATCAGGACGGATATTCATAACAATTTCCTAACATTATATAGAGCAAGCAATACACCATTAAGATAAATTATAAAGGGGAAGGATTAATGGCTAATGAAAAATAAACATTATTAGCAATAGTAGCTATCTATTTAGAAATTATTTAGCACGGTATGCACAACATTTGCAGAAATGTCCTTTTTATCACTGATAGCAACTTTCTGCTTGAGACAGAAGTGAAAAGTGAGGTGGCACATAGTGTGGACATGATGGACTGTCACATTGCAAGCGTGGCCCATAATGCAACCATCACTGGCCCAAAGTGCAGGGTGTGTGCAGCGTTTACAATTGAAATGAGGCAGGGTGTAGGCATACAGATCCTCATTATATCATTTCCCTATGGACTGAGGGCAGCGCTGCAGACAGGAAGGAGGGAGACAAGTGCATCCTCGCTGTTCGCAACACACAGACGTAACAGTTTGGTTTCAACACAATCTCCAAATGGCTTTTCAAAAGCGAGGCGGAGACCAATACAGAGGGGAGAGATTTGTGTCGGGTGTCTGCGATTCTGGTTCATTTGTTTGCTGTTCACCATGGGCGAAACAGGCAAACATGGCACGCGGGTCACATCTGATTCCCCATTGGAGACGAAATGGTGAAAGGATGGCAGCAGTGCGAGGCAGCATTGCAGCACTCCGCTGTGTCCGAAAGTATCTGCATCAGTGGGGCTGATTGTGAGGCCCCCGCTGGCGCTGTTTAGATAGTTTGGCTACATCAAGCTCTCCTCCAGACGGCTCTTCCTGGTGCGATTAGAGGAGGGTGAAGATGAAAGGTGTTCGGTGTATTTTTAAAATTGTTGATTTTCCGTGTAATGATAGCTCGTGCAATTAAGCGCTGGCTTCAGGCTCTGCATGTCCTTGTGAAAAAAAATCTCCTATTTGCGTGTGTGAGTGAAAATGAACATGTGTGTGTGTACATGTCTGCCTGTGCTTTAGATATATTTTCTACGTTGATATTAGATTTTAATGGTAAGCACCCAGCAGACTTTTCTATCAGTGTTTCAGATGTTGTGTTTGATATATGTGATGTGCATTGATGTTACACTCTCTGGTTAGTGTTGATATTTTAATAAAAGAACCCAAAAATAAATTATAAAATCAGGTTAAATCTAGATCAACAGAAACAATGCAAACAATTAACATTCATAAATAGAATTTTGAATGATTTTTCGTAAACTAGCAGTGTTGAACACCAGCCCCCTCGTGTTGAGATGAACTTGCCTGACAGCTAATGTTTCCTCTTGGATTAAAACATAAGCCAGCGTTTTCTTTGTTTTCTGATGTCTAGTTTTCACGGTATGGATGACAGGACATTGTGTGTTGTGTCTGTGTTTAAAAGGTGGTGGGCGTGTTCGCACGCAGTGATGGGGCAGTGGGGGGGTGGGGGGAGATTGTCAAAAGCTAAATTTGCCATGAGAGTAATTGTGCTCCTCCATGGCATTCACTTCTGCTAAATGTAATCACTTTAAATAATGTCAGTGACATCTTGTGAAGTATTTGGTGGAAGAAAAGGTACTATGTAGGGCAGGCATCTAAGTGTGTGATCCCGACTGTCTGTGCGTTATCTTCTCTTTCATTAGAGATGAACAGCCTCGGGTTGGATTGGCGGGAGGCAGTGGGGGGTGGGAGAGTGTGTGTGGATGCATAGAGACACACTTTACAACTGGAATTATAGTCTAAAGCACTA